CCCCGTGTGCCATAACAGCCCACTTGTACGCTGTGAGAAAGAGGCAGAGTGAAGGGGGAGGGGATAAACACAGGGAGGAGAGATGGAGAGCAGACGAACAAAGAACGATGAAGGGAAAGTAAGGGAAAGTTCGGAGTGTGGAGTGGAGATGAAGGCAACATAGGATAAGAAAAGGCTCAAGAATGAATGTCCTTGATGACAGAGGACATACATTGTAAGGATGACGTGGATGAACACATGGAAGACCTAGCTGAGCATTCTCAGTGCAACAATTGCCACGACGGGTGGCATTGAGCATGCCCGCCATACACCCCCGAGAAATGGCATGTCGATTGCAGGCCAAAATGAAAGAAGAACAGTCACCACAAAAGAGCATGCATTCAGTATAGCGCCCATGGCCGCAAAATGGACGTATACCGTCCAGATGCAGACGGTGCCGCAGTCAGGAACGGAGGGACAGTCCTCTGCACACATGGATGCAGAAACCATGTCGTCAAACAGAGCTGCCCGGTAAAGCGTAGGCAGAGAGGGAGAAGAGGACAACAAACAAGGGGTTGTGACAAACTGTTTCGTCGGAGTTTGCAGCGCCTTGTTATTGCAACTTCAATGTGGCATCAGAGTCTCCATAGTACATGAAAAAAAAATGGAAGGGAAACAGTCAGTAGTCTTGCAAACTGATGGAGAGCCGTGTGCTTGGAAATCTTGCACGCACGGTTCGAAGGTCCGAACAGAACCATCGCCCTTGTACTTGTACAGGGGCCGATGGAGCTGTTTGCGTCCTTTCCTTCTTTTGCAAGGAAAATGAGCAATATAGAGATGACAATATCCAGAATGCACAATCACATTGAAGGCCAGAAAGTATCACAGTGTCCAGAAAGCAGCATTTCACCAATATAACACCAATGGAGAATCATAACACTGAAAACCAATGTCAATGAGAGGTTTCTCTCGCCACCACCAACATAAGTGTCCAGGCCCTTCTCCCTACTTGGCGCTCGGCGCCCAGGCTGCTCCCTACACAGCTACTGTCTGCCGACTAATTGACAATGCAACTGTTGATGTCAGCAGCCGACGAAGTACTTGAAGATGTCGCCCAGATGCAGACCACCGCCAATACCAGGTATGTGCCCTCACATCATCATCCTTCTCTCTCTCCCTCGTCTTACACCCACGTCTTCCCTCTGTTCACCCGAAGACCACCTCTGCGCCTCAATGTAATCCAAGCCTCAGCCAGCTATGGAGGCTGGGCTATGGCGCTGCCCTCAGCAGCACCCTGCTTCCTGCACGACCGCACGCACACAGCACCTTGCCCTTCGTGCACAGCAGCACGCGAGGCTTTGCTCCAGCAGCGCTGCCGCACAAATAGGCAAGTGCCTGCATGAGCCTCCAGGCAGTGAACTCTTTCCTCTATAAAAAGAGTCTGCCTGCCCCCGCGGCCTGGCTGGGCTCGGCCTCTGCCCAGAAGCTTCCGGTAGGCACCAGGAGGCTGTGCCTCTGTTGCAGCCGCTGGGCCTAGTTCGGTTGGGCCTCCCAACTGTCTGTGTATGAAGCTGCGATTCTGGCCCAGGGGGCTGCATATCAGGAAAGGCCTGGAAGGCCGTGGAATATCTTTGCTACTCGGCCTGTGTTTCCCACAACCAACTGGCGCGTCACAACTGCCTGGACCCCAAATACGAAATTAACAGAAATGGGCCTCTCGAGATTTGTTAGGCCCGCCTACACTTAGGGCGGGCACATCTGTATCAGGGCCCCTTAGGCCTGCCGAGGACCCAGATGCTCGCATTTTTTTCGTTTTCCTTTTTTTTTTTCAGTTTTGCTGCTTGCGTCTGAACCCTCTTTTGCCCAATGTGGCAGTATGCCTCTTTCAGCTCAAAGGAGAACTGTGCCCGAGGCCATGTTGGGGTGGGTGCCACAATGGCAACTTTTTGCGATTGTGGCACGCCATCTGTCAGAAAGCATGGATATGTGTCTCTGTGTCGTCGTGTACGTGACTCGGTGGGCATATGTGGACTGCAACTTGCCCAGTGTCGCCCGGTGATGGTATGTAGGAGTCCTGCAGTAAATGCACTTCACTGCTTGAATGTTTCGAAGTTAACTTTTCTCATTTCTTATATTTTTTTTCTTTTTTAATTTATTAAAATTTATTTTCCTTGCTCCAACATTTCTTCTTT